CAGGAACGCTTGAAAAGTGCTCCTATTTCACTAACTCTGTTCCTTCCACTATTCAAGCAGACTCCGTTTTGTTGGGTAAGTGATTTTGTTAACAAGCCTCTCCCTCTTGCCTCCTGTAATGCTGTATTCTAAGCTCTTCCCTCCTTTGGAGGTAGCTGCCAAATCTTATGAATGCTGATTGTGGCTCCCTGGTACTCTGAACTTTCTCTCTGGCTGCTTGTAGTACTTGTATTCTTTGACCTGGAATTTCTCAATTTAGGCTAGGATATTCCTGGAGTTTTCATTTTAAAGTTTCTTTTAGAAAATTAATCATGGTTCTGGGAAGTTTTCATTCAAAATTTCTTGAAATGTGGTATTTGGGCACTTTTTTTTCCTTTTTGGTGATAGTTTTCCAGTAGGAAAGAAGGAAGAAAACAAGCATTGGGCCAGGCACTATGGTAAGTGCTTTTATAAATATTAGCACATTTGATCCTCACAGCAACCCTAGGAGGCAGGTGCTGTTATTATAGCCATTTTGCATATGAGGAAACTGAAGCTGAGAGAGGTTAAGTGACTTAAGTCACGCAGCTAGGAAGTATCTGTGGCAGGATTTAAACTCAGGCCCAGTGTTCTAGCCAGCTACCTAGCTAGTAGACCAATCATTCTTCTCTTTTCTTAACTGACTTGTTTTTCAGGTCCTTTGTTTTTATAAGATGCCTTATATTTTCTTCTGTTTTTTTACTCTTGGTCTTTTTTGTTTTAATATTTCTTGTTATTTCATGGAGTCATTAACTTCTGTTTGGTCCATTCAAATTTTTAGGGAGTCTGTTACTTAGATCAGGTTTTCTGCCTCTTGCCCTAAGTTGTTAATTCTCCTTCCAAGTCTCTCCTCTAGAGCTCTCATTTCCATCATAACATTCTTTTTAAACTCTTGCTTCATTTCTCCCAGGAATTTTAGTTGATCCAGTGGCAAGGCAATGTTTATAGACCTTTCAGAGCTATTCTCTTCTTCTGGGTTCATGCCTGGGGCAACCCCCACTCCTTACTAGCTATTTATTATCATTGATATGTCTTTTTTCCTTTGTTTAGATAGTTGTTTAGGTAGTAGATAAAGAATTTATCAACCACTCCCTATGTGCCAAGCACTGTGCTCGGGATACTAATACAATAAAACAAGGTGGTCCCTACTCTTGAGGAGGACAGCTAGATGGTGCCATAGTGCACTGAGTGCCAGGCCGGGAGGCAGGAAGACTGCCCAGAGTTCAAAACTGGCCTCAAACACTTACCACCTCTGTGACCCTAGGCAAGTCACTTAACCCGGTTTGCCTCAGTTTCCTCATCTGTAAAATAAGCTGGAGAAGGAAATAACAAACCACTCCAGCATCTTTGCCAAGAAAACCCCAAATGGGAGCACAGAGAGTTGGAAATGACTGAACAATAATACTTAAGGAGCTTCCATGATATGAGAGGAAGAGAAAACATAAATAGTACCTTGAAAGCTGGGTGGAAGGGGAGGGCAGGAAGAGGGAGGACTGGGAAAGAATGGAAAAGGGGAACAATGGGGAAGAAGGGTACTAGAGCAGGATCAAATTAAGGTTGGGCTAAGGATGTACAGCAGTCTGCAACAGTGAGCTGAGCTAGAACCAAGTGAGCATGGCTAGGGTCCCTCACAAAAGATCAGGCCTTGGAATAAGTCTGAAAGCCATGGTGGGTAAGATTGCTAGCGAGGAGGGGGAGCAGTCCAGAGAATGAGTAGAGCTGGGAGTATTTCCAGGACTCCTTCCAACTTGACTTCACAAACCAAGAGTCTGAAAGTTTGCAAGTCTCCGGTCAGAGCCAATTCTGAGATCCTGAGATTCACAGCTTGATCCCAACTTAGCTTTCCACCCTCAATGGACATCAGACCCTTCCTACACTCTTCAATCCAGTCAAGCCGGACATATCTCCTTCCTCATACATGAGAGTTCACCTCCAGTTGTCATGCTTTTGCCATGGCCACGCTCCATGCTTGTGTCCTCCCTTCCAAACTACCTTTTGTTTATTCTGTATCTAGTCTAGTTATATTTATATATGTACATACTGTCTCCCTCACTAGGATGTGAGCTCACTGAGAACAGGGTTCATTTCATTCTTCACATCTGTATCCCCAGTCCCAACACAGCGTAGCTTCTTACCATACGACGGCTAGTTGGTGAACTCCTCCAACGAGGCACCCGACTGGAGCTGCACAGCTTAGGAGAATCGAGGGTCATACTTATCGCAAAGTAAAAACTGGCATCATTACTTTATAGTCACAGGTGGGTCTGTCTTGATCCACTTCCTTTTTTTTCCTTCTTATCGTCCCCTCCTTCGCTTGGTTTAGCTCCATTTCCTAGTTCCTGCCCGATGCCCAGGCACTTGAGACAATCACAAAACAGAAGGACGACCAACAAAGGGCTTTGTTAGTCTGGAGCCAAGAGACCTTTGGGTAAAGTGCCACGTAGCCCACTTGAGGCCAGAAAGCCTGATTCCAGCTCATCCGGCTGGCTGGCTGGTGTAATGCAAGTGCCCTAAGTGGACACAACCGTCTGACGTCCATCAGGACACAACCCTGAAATCGGGACCACAATTCCATACCTGCCTGCGTGTCTTCTCTGCCATACACACCAAACCACACTTCTGTTCTCTATGGGAGCCTGGCCAATCCAGCCTTCTCGGAAAGTATCGCTCCTACCGCTGGAAACCCGCTGTTACACTTTCCTGCCACCATCACAGCTCCTTGGCTTCCAAGAGTCACAAAGGGAAACTAGTCTCATTGCTTTATAAAGGGCTAATCATGCAGCACAAACAAGTATAGGAGCTGGGAAAATAAAGCGAATCACAGACTAGTATCAACAGAAGGGGAAGGGAATAAGCATTTATAGAGCGCCTACTGTGTGCCAGGTGCTTTATCAATATTATCTCACGTGACCCTCTCATCAACCCTGGGAGACAGGTGTGTGCTGTGGTTGTGTCCCTCTCACAGCTGACGACGCTTCCTAGAAGAGGAAGGGCACGAAGAGGGGGAGGAAGCTGTGGGGGAACAGCATCAACACAAGTTCGGGTCTGCCTTCAGGCTCTCCCTATGGCTTCTAACATCAGCTACAGACTGTCAGCTCCCTCTGACCTACCTCTCTCCTGTCTACCTTTACATTAATCGCCGCCAGACACTCGATATTCTAGCCAAAATGAACTACTTTCTGTTCCCTAAAATTAATATGCTCCTAACGTCTGAAATCCCACAGTGATGTAGTTACGTTCATTGTGGATGCATGGGATTTCTGCCTTCTGTCTCTATTCAAGTGAACAGACTAAGGAAAACTGACAGGGAAGACCAATTTAAACACTATCAGAATTTCTTCCCTTTAATAATCTATTATGCGATCGATTAGGTGCTTCTGCTTACAGATGATTTTATTTTTATTCGATCTCTTTTTCAACCTTTACTATTATACACTGCTTTAAGACCTACAGAAAAAAACTTTCCTCAAAACAGCTATGTGAAGTAAGTATTGTGAGCAATGTGACAGATGAGGAAACTGAGGTATCACAGAGATTACTGCAGGAATATTATTGAAGGACTAGAAAGACTTCATCACTGATACCATCTCATCCATCACATGGTGCCTGAGCAGCAGCACCATATACAATGTCATTCTTGTATATGGATGAGAATTCAGTGTTTGACAATTCTGTTCAAGCAGCTCTCACTTTACAGTATAATAAAGCTTCTATTTTCATGTCATGGCCAAGGATACATATAATGCTCTAATTAATCAATAGATTTAAGGGTGATTAATCTTTTTTGTAAATTATATCAGAAAATTATCTAACTCTTACCAAGCTTTTAATAGATAGCTTCAAAAACACTCCCCACTGTACAGGGAGCCTGTATAAATAGCAGCCTTTGATAAAAGGACACTCCTGATCCAAGGCACATTTCCAGCTCCTGTCCACATCCATTCACCGTACCCGGTTCTTTAAGGGGACACTTGGGAATATGTTGCCTGAATTATTCAAGCCATTTCTCATCGTAAGATTTTTACAACCATGAGTATGGTAACATCAGTTTCACAGGCACAGGATGGCGGAGGCCTGATAGCAATTTGTTTTGCTTTTTTAGCCAACTACAAGCTCAATAAGTGAGCAGTATAATGTGGCAGTCAAAACAGTCAATGCCACCTTGGGCTCTGTCAGAAGCATCAGTTCCAGGAAGGTAAGCGTCTCTGTATGCTGCCTGGTCAGACCTCTGGAGAATGGTATTCAGGACTGGGCACAACAATGTAAGAAGGACAATGATCTGGAGAGAACTGGAGATACTTCGCCTAGAGAGAAGAAGATGCAGGACATCTGTCTTCAAGTACTGAAGGGCTGGTCCTGTGGAGGAGGGATTAGGCTGGGTTTGTTTAGCTCCTACTAGCCACACCTGGGGCAAAGAGGGGAAGAAGCTGAGAGATGAACTGAGGCCTGATGTCAAGAAAAGCTTCCTCACAATGACAGCTGTCCAGAAGTAGATGTGGCTGCCTCAGGAGGGGTCTCCTGGGATGGCCGACAGGCTTGTCAGGTGGACAGGAGGGATTCCATCTTTAGAAACCTGTGAGACTGTCACTCTTCAAGTCACCTCAATATCTTAAATCTTCACTATTGAGAATATAATATGCTAAAATTATAACCAAATTACCTATGATAAATAATTTAGGTGTCAACTATCTGGCATTCTTTTTTATTAATGTACATAAAATTTGTTCACTTAAATTCTACAAAAGGCTTACTTCTTTACAAAGTAAGTTTCTTCTTTCCTTCTTTTTATCCATTAGACAAAATTCAAAGCTTCTCTGAGTTTATTTCTTCATTTTTCTAATACCCATCATAAAATAAACAAGAAAAACTAACAAAATACATCTCCAAGTATGCTGGCAAGGAATTTTTTGTTACGTTATTATTATGCCAAAATAAAGTGCATGAATCAGGGTCAAGAACTGGCAAGGGACAAGATCACTTACCTCTTATTTGCCTGTCCACTACTCTCATTTCTTTTCTGATCTTCAAAGACCATTCATTGACCTGAAGGGGGAAAAAACAGCATTAGATGCCAACACTAGGCAATTCACTAATTTTTAAAAATGGAGTATGAACATTAAATTATTTTGCATGAAGATGACCCTATGGGTAGCACCCACAAAAGACCATTTTCAAAGTAAAGGCCTGAGTAACAAACTCAAGCTCTTTCCCAGTACTCTCTTTTTTATTCACCTGATAGGCACAAACCCCAAAATGGATTAAAGGGATATTTAACACCGAGACATAATACTTTGACTCAGCACTGGAAAAACAAGCAACCTTGGCTTTAGCACTAGAGGGAATCTTCTAAGTCATTTAGTCCCTCATTTTACAGATGAGTAAACTGAGGCGCAAAGAGATTTAAGTGATTGCCCAAGGTTAGACAAGTGATAAAGTGGCAGAACTGGGATTCAAACCCAGGCTTTCTGACTTAAAACAGTAAGTCACTGTGAGGAAATCCCCAATTTTAGGATAGTTCTTGATTCACTAATATTAAAAGAGCTCCGAGATTTTGCCACATTCCATAAACTGACCAACATGACAAAAGAATGGAAACACCTTTGCTGGACACAGACACCAGCACAGTACTGGGTCTAGACCGGCTGCCTCACAGCCCTGCCCAGAGCTGGGGATGGGCCCCTCCTCACCACTGAAGCAGGAGAGCCCAGCCATGCTTAACTCCCTCCTCTGCACAGGCGCCTGGCCACGAACCTTAGGGCCTGTGATTAAAACAACTCTAGCACAGGTAGGAACGGGACGTGTCATGGGATTCGTCTACGGCCCTACCCACCATCCCTGTAGCGTTCTGATCCAAAGGGCCCCTCCTTTAATGGACTCAAGGCATGGAAGGAGACCTAACATTTTTGGACAAGCAAAATATCTTTGTTTTCCTTGTCAGTATGTTACAAAGGGAGGAGAAGAGAAAGTGCTCCTTCCTGACCACCACTCCCCTATGTGTTGCTTCTCCAATGAGGATATAAGCTCCTTAAGCGCAGAAACCACCCTAGCTTTGTATTTGTATCCTCAGCTCATTGTTGTTTAGTTGTGTCCAACTCTTCACGATCCCATTTGGGGTTTTCTTGGCAGAGATAATGGAGCAGTTTGCCATTTCCTTCTCCAGCTGATTTTACAGATGAAGAAATTGAGGCAAACAGGGTTAAGTGATTTGCCCAGGGTCACACAGCTAGGTAAATGCCTGAGGCCAGGTTTGAACTCAGGTCTTCCTGACTCCAGGCCCTGCCAGGGTCTCTATCCACTGTGCTATGTAGCTGCCCATATCCCCAACTCAGCAGATGGAAAAGGTGTAATAAATTCTTTTTCATTCATTCATTCTGGAAAGTGATTTGGAATTATGCTAAGAAAATGGCTAAAATGTCCCAACCTTCTGACTCAAAAAGACAGATGTCCAAGACAGAAAGCAAGGTGCCTGCATTCCCAAGTATTCACAGCAGCACTTTTTGTGATAACAAAGAAATGGAAACAAAGCAGATACTTATTCACTGTGGAATTACACAACAAATTATGGTACATGAATATAACGAAGTATGATTGTGCCACAAAAGACAATGGACAGGGAGAATTACGAGAAGCACAGGAAGACATCTACAAACTAACGAAGAGGGAAGTAAACAAAGGCAAGAAAACCACATAGGCCAAAACCAATGGAAAGATCACCACAATGAAACTTCACACTGTGTAATGACTGTAACTTAGTAACCTCGTCACCCACTCTCCTTTGTGGAGCCAGGAGACAACGGGCAGGGAACAATGCATGGGTGGCCGGTGTGCGGGCTGGTTCTGCCAGTCTCGCTTTCCTTTCTTTTCTGTTTTTGGGCATGAGAAGAGAGAAGGGATTTATTGAGAAGGGGAAGCAGAAATGAAAACGATTTATATGAATCTTGTACTAATTTTTAATGATTGGTCCAAATGTCATTTAAGGCATTCAGATGATGGAGACTGCCTGACACTGCATGTCAGCAGCAAACTCGTCTGTAACCTGCTGCGAGTGCTCCGCTAGGGAAAGAGCCTTCCTTAGCTGTCCTCTCTGATTCGTCCTTCTTAGTTCGGACCTCTAACTGACTGCTGCCTCATATACCTCCTCCTCCAGCCAGCCAGTGAACTCAGGGATGCTGTTTCTCTGAAACTGCTGCCCTTTTCTGCCCCCTGACTCTTGCCCACATGGCCCCCATGCCTGGAATAGTCTTTCCCCAAAATCTCTGCCAGTGCAAGCCCTTCCCTTCCTGAGAGGTCCCCCTGAAGTCTCACCATGTCTATGAAGTCTTCCCTCATCTCTCCTCAAGTATCAGTGATCTGTTTGGTCCTCTCCTATTCATGTATAATATGGAGTGTTGTGTTTGCCCTACTAGATTCCTTCCTCGAGGGAAGGCTGGGGCTAATGTCTGTTTTTATCTGTATGCTAGTACAGTGTACTGCAAACAGGCCCTTAAGAAATGTTCACTGAATTCTGCAACTTCCTGCTTTAAAATTTTTAATGGCTCCCAGCTGAGTAACTTCCAAACTCATGATACTCAAGCCCTTCCAAATGCGGACACTAGCTATCTTTGTTATCCTTCCCTTTAAGCCCTGAGAGCTGCTCTCCAGAAGCCACTGACTGTAATAGCCAAACAAAAGCTCAATGCCATCCCCCCTCAAAATTCCTTCCTTTTTCCTACTCAAACTATTCCTTCTACCTATCAAAGTCTCCCAATATCTGTCTACAGATAGACATGGTAACTCACAGATTCTCAACCATTTTCATTCCTCATATCTCTTGGCTTTAGAGTAAACCTTCCATACTCCCGATTCAATAGAAAAGCAAAGAAATTCTAGAGTTTATTATTAACAATAATAACTAACAAGTATATAGCACTTAAAGGTTTGCAAAATGCTTTCTGTGTGCCACCTGATTCTCACAACTACCCTCTGTGGTAGGTGCCAGTGTTATTCCCACTTCATAGATAAGGAAATTACTCTGGGAGAAGCTAAATTAACTTGGCCAGAGTCATACAGCTGGTAAAATGGGATTATTCTAACTCAGCTCTTCCTACTTCCAAGTCCAGTCCTCTATCCATAGTGACCACTATACGTAGGCCTGGTTGAAAACATCTGTCTTAATCCACTTGTACAAAAATATTTATAGCAGCTCTTTCTATGGTGGCAAAGAATTGGAAATTAAGAGGATGCCCATCAACTGGGGAATGGCTGAACTAGTTGTGGTATATGAACGTAATGGTATACTATTGTGCTATAAGAAATGATGAGCAGGTGGACTTCAGAAAAACCTGGAAAGACTTGTATGAACTGATGCTCAGTGAAGTGAGCAGAACCAGGAGAACGTTGCACACAGTAACAGCAATGTTGTGCGATGACGAACTTTGACAGACGAAGCTCTTCTCAGCAATACAAGGATCTATGACATATCCAAAAGTCTCATGATGGAAAATGCGATGCACGTCCAAAGAAAGAACTATGGAGTTTGAATGCAGATCCAAAGCCTACTATTTGCTCTTTTTTTCCCTTCTGGTTTGTTTTGTTTCTTCTTTCTTGTGGTTCCTCCTATTGGTTCTAATTCTTCTTTACAACATGACTAATATGAAAATAAGTTTAACAGGAATGTATATGTAGAGCCTAGATCAGACTGCACGCCATCTTGGGGAGGGAAGGGGGGAAAATTTAAAACTCAAAAGCTTATGGAAGTGATTGCTGAAAACTAAAAATAAATTAATTAAAAAAGGAAAAAAAAATCCGTCTTAACTATTCTGCAGTTTAAATGTGACCTCATCCCTGTATTTGACCTGATCAGCCCAGACATCTCTCCCTTCTCTGAATTCCTATAACACTGCCTTAAATTATACTTATTCATATATGTCTCAATTATCTCCTCTAACTTTCCACCTGGTGTATACTTCTTAAACCTTTAAAGCCTAACTCAAAGCCATCTCATCGAGGAAGCTTTCCTTGACTGCACCAGTAAATGTTTTTTTCTTCCTGAAACTTTACATATTGCTTCGTTTGCACCTCTCAAGTCTTTCCTGTTATAGAGGGTATCCCAAAAGTCTTAGTGTGGTTTTAAGTTTTCTTTTTTTTTTTTTTCCGGTAATTGGGGTTTCTGACTTTTCAGGATCACACAGCTCTAAGTGTCAAGTGTTTGGTCAGAGGCGCCACTTGAACTCAGGTCCTCCAGACTTTAGGGCCAGTGCTCTATCTACTGCGCCACCTAGCTGCCCCAGTTTTAAGTTATATCTGGGTGTGTGTCCATTAAGCCCACATCCCTTCTTATTGACTGCAAGATCCACGTGGGCAGGAATTGAGCCTCAGCTCACTGCTATTCTGCTCTTGGCACCTAAGCAAAGTGCTCTTCTCAGAGCAGGTTTCCAATCAATGTCTCCTGAAGCGAACTCAATGATCTATGCCCTGAAGAACAGAGCCTTGCCTTGTTCACCTCCTGTTCTCTTTTTTTTACGGTCAGTCCTTGCCCATAATAAACAGTCACCTATTTGGTAAAGGAAAGAACAAGCAGCTGGGACAGGCTCCTTCTTTGATCAGATACAGTCACCACGAAGCTTCTCAATCTTAATCTGGTTTCCCAAGGAGATTTTCCTGCTGGCAAGAGAAGGTACAAGCCATGTTCTCTGGAGGGTTCAAACAGTTATGCACTTAGATGCAAATTATGAAATCAACTTTCTGGTGCAATTCATGCACACGTGAGCTGAACAGGATGAGCCAGTTTTCCTAGGGGCTGATCACTGAGCTCTAACAGAGCTGAATTGCCAAACCTTGGCCTAGCACGGTATCTTTCACACAGTGGACATTCAGGAAATGTCTGTCAACAAGCCTTTATCAAGTGCCTACACTATGCTAAGCACTGGGGATACAAGGAGCTCACACTTGAATGGCAGTGACAACAGCTTTGTAAATAACTAGGCATAAACATGATAGACACAGAACAGAAGCAGAGCTAGGCACAAGCAGCTGGGGGCACCAGGAAAAGCCTCCTGAAGAATGTGAGGTTTAAGCTGAGTCTGGAAATTAAGAAGAGGAGGTGAGGGGCATGAGGTCAGCCAGTGAGTAAAGGTCTTGAGTCAGGAGATGAAATGGAAAGTAAAGGCTAAGAAGCCTGGAAAAGGCAGGAAGGCACGGTAGAGGACAATACATCTTTTTGTCTGACTACAGCCAGCAAAGGCCTTTCTATTTCATCCTGGAGGTCACTAAGCAAGAGTGGCTGGGGGGAGAGGGTGACTACTGCAATAATAATCAGGGCCTAAGCAAGGGCAGCATGGGGGGGGGGTCCTCCACGATCATGAGTACAGGTGATGAGGGAGGTCTATGACGCTGGGTGATGGCTTGAAGAATGGCGGGACCCTCAGCAGTAAAAGGTAAGTTGGGAGTCTGGAGTTGGGTCTGAGATCCTAAGAGATCATCGAGGGAGACAAGGAGGGAAGGCAGCACAGAGCCCTGGGGTTTGGTTAGTGGGTGTGACCTGGACCAGGAAAGGAGACTGAGGAGCAGCCAAGCAAGTGTGGACCCAGGAGAGGAACAGAGGCCCAAGAGAGCAGGGTCAGGAAAACCTAGAACAAATTAAAAAAAAAAACCAAAAAACTCAAAACCCTGCAGCCTTTCCCGCCCATCAAACTAGGAACAGATGAAGGCCCTGACAATGTCTGATTAGTGAGCAGCATCTATTCCACTAAGTCATCCAATAAGCCTCTATTTAGCACAGCACTGTGTTACATACAAAGGCAGCACAATGGACGGTGTTGGACTTGGAGGCAGAAAACCCAGACTTCAAGTCCGGCCTCTGACACTTACTAGCTGTATCACTTACTAGCAGTTATCTCTGGACAAGTCATTTTAATCTCCAGTCTTGGTTTCCTCATCTGTAAAACCCAACAACAGCACCTCAATTCCACAGGGTTGTTGTGAGGATGAAATGAGATAACGTACGTAAAGCATTTTGCAAACTTTAAAGCACTACACTAACGCCAGGGGTTATTATTAGTTAAGAAGCAGACCTTGTTCTCATGGAGCTTACAGTTTCATTGCAAATAAGACCCCACTTCTTACAAACTGCTAGATGGCTCCTCCAAGCAGGAGCCACACTCTGTCCGTGGGCCCCACCTGTACCCTTTTCAGATCAATGGGGCCTGCCAGAGCCAGAGTCTGTGGGGCACGTAGTCATGTCCATGTCAGGAGGAAGAAGAAAGACTGGAAAGGAAGTGTCATAAGGCAGGGCATGTATGTACACTGCTGATATAGTGAGGCCATGGGGCAGCTAGGTGGTGCAGTGGATAAAGCACTGGACCTGGAGTCAGGAGGACCTGAGTTCAAATCCAGTCTCAGACACATAACATTCACTAGCTGTGTGACTCTGGGCAAGTCACTTAACCCCAACTGCCTCACCAAAAAAAAAAAAAATAATAATAATGATATAGTGAGGCCAGCCCTCTTATGGGACAGGTGCTTTTGTGTGCTTCGAGTGGTGAGGATGGGAGGGAAGGGGAAGGAGAAGGGGTTAGGCACCTAGAAAATCATGTCACAAGGACCAAGGAGTACTGGGGAGGAACAGAAGGGAAAAGGTATCATGGGCTCTCACAGGCAGGACCATAAATTTGTAGCAAGAAAGATCCTTAGAGACTATCTTGTCCACCCTTCGCATTTTATAGGCCTGAGCAGTAACCAACATTTTATGCAGCACTTTATGGTTTGGAAAACGTTCAGTACACTCAGTTCACTGGCAAACACACAGGCTCTGGAGCCTGAGGGGGGCCTGCATTCCACTGTGACCTCTAACACTTCCCGTCACTTTGAGCTCTGGATCTAGGCCCCTCTTTGCCTCTCACAAGCCTATGAGACAAGTCCTTCAGGGATTAAGAAACCAGAGCAGGGAGAGGTTCTATGACTCACCCAAGGTCACATGTATAGTAGGTGTGGAGGACAGAAGAGGGCTAGGGTTGGGGAGGAAGGAAGAGAAATGGGCAATCAATACATTAGGCTTTGGTACCTCCTATCCAAAACCTTATTACATCCTTACACCAATCCTATGGGGTAGTGCAGCTTAGCAGCATGCCTGACCCAGACTAAGGGCTTAATATCTGTTGAACTGAACTGAGGTATTCTTATGCCCATCTGACAAATGGGGAAACTGAGGCTCAGAGCTATTCAAATGACCCAGAGTCACAAGGCATCTAGCAGATGGCAGTCTCTGGATAGAGCAGTGGCCTTGGAGTCAAGAAGACCTGAGTTCAAATTTTGCCTCAAACAATTGCCAGCTGTGTAGTCCTGGGCAAGTCACTTCACTGAGGCTCAGTTTCCTCCCCTGTAAAATGGGAGTAATCACAAGGGCACCCATGGGCCAGAACCGTAGTGAGGATCAAAGGAGAGACCGTCCCAGGGTGAGCTAGGGAGGATCCAGAATCTGGCCCTGAGCTCTAACAGCCCCTCTCCTTCCAGCGCTGGCACCGCACCTCCCTGCTCAAACCCTGTCCCCACCCATTCAGGCTCCGCCCCCTGCTCCGGCCCCTCCCCTCAACTCTCAGGCCCCGCCCCTCCCCGAGCTTGAGTCGCTCTAGAGCTCCGAGGCAGGGGGGCGTGGGGGGGGCGGGTCATACTAAATCCCGGGGGGGGTGGGGTGCTGACGGGAAACCCGAGGCCAGCGGCGCGAGGCGGGGAGGCGGACTCACTCCGCCTCGGGCGGCCCGGGAGCGCCCCCAGAGCCGCTGAGGACGCGCCCCTCCGCCCCTCCGCCGCCTCCCCCCACCTCCCGGGCCGCCCCTGAGGCGGGGGAGGAGGGTCCAACCGCCGCCGCGCCTCTCACCAGCTCCTTGGGAGGCTTCTCTTGCGTCTTCCCAAAGAGCCCCATCATGAACGCTGCTATCTCGGCCCCTTCCGCCTTCTTGTCACCGGCGCCGCGGCCGCCTGGGCGGGGCCCCCGGGACGGGGCCGAGGAGCCGGGTACAGAAGAAGGAAGCGGCTACGGCGGCAGCGGCGGCGGCGAGGGCTGGGCGCAGGCGCGCGGCGCAGGCGCGTGGGGCGGTGTGTGGCCAAGGGGCGGGGTCGTACCTGGGCTTTCCGTCTGGATCCGAGGTTGTTCTGCGCGTGTGCGGGCGTGTTGCGCAGCGGGACTGCAGGATTGAGTGAGGCGAGGAGAGCTGGCGAGCCCGGGAGCGGTGTGGCTGAAAATAGGGTTAGAGCGGCAGCTCACACTCCAGACCGCGCGTGCTGCAGCCAGCTCTCACCTCCTGCAGCTGTGGCTCAGTTTTCAGTGGGGATATTCACACCTTTGGTTTACTGTTGTATTGATTGTCTAGATGCAAGAAAGCGATGGAGAGAATGTCAGTTCTGCAGATGGCACACGGTTTACCAAATACCACATTGAGCTGCAAAAAAGATACATGATCTGAATGTGATCATGATAGCTAACATTTATATAGCACTCTACTTTGCTTTCACAACCACCTGAGGAGGTAGGTGATATTATTACCCCGACCTGTAAAATGGGAATAATGATGGCATCTATTTCCCAGGGTTGTTGTGGGACCCAAATGAGATAATACTTGTAAATTGCTTAGTACAGTATCTGGCATATAGAAGGCACTTAATAAATTTGTGCCTGGCTCATAGAAGGTGCTTAAATAAATCTCTGTTTCCCTCCCTTCCTCCTTTTCTTTCTTCCTTCTTTCCTTCCTGTTAGAGAGCAAGAACTCTTTAACAGTTAATTGGGAGAGGGGTTAAGATTGCAGACCGGTGCTGGGTAATGTTTCTTTTTCCTTTGGCTCCTAAAGCTGTCCCATACCCTCTTGTGATGAACAAAGGGACACCAGGAAACATAAGGAGATTGTGAATCATATTTACTTATGAAAAATGAAATCAGTCAGTTCAGTCTTCAACAGAATTTTTTTTTTAAGTACACAATTAGAAATGTATACTAGTCAACTCCAGATGAAGTAAGGCAAGGATGGAGATAAGCTCTTTAGTTTCTCCTGTTTTTCTCTCAGACTCCAACTACTAGAGCTAGCAATGATTTTTAAAATACACACACACACACACACACACACACACGCACACACACGCACGCAGTTATCCATCTCTCCACTTGTCCATTTAAAGGCTACCTCTCTTGGTCTCTGTTGGAAGTTGGGTTTTTTTTTTTAAATTTTTAGGCAATTGGGGTTAAGTGACTTGCCCAGGGTCACACGGCTAATAAGTGACAAGGGTTTGGTCTGAGGCTGGATTATGAACTCAGGTCCTCCTGACTCCAGGGCCAGTGCTCTATCCACTGCACCACCTAGCTGCCCCAGAACTTGGGTTTTAAGAAGAAAACTATAGGTGCTGCTACTACCAGCAGCTGTCAGAGTTATAACACTGCTCCACTGGGGGAATGGAGGGAAAGAAAAACCAACTGCCTCCTTCTTCACCACCTTCACCTTCTCTTCCCCTTGTCCTCTCCTCTTTCACTCTTTGAAGTTAAGGCATAATTTTTGTGGAGTCAGGGATTAAATATTGCATCCACTGCTAGAACAGATGCTGTGCCCATGGGTTATACTGCCCATCTTGGTGAGGGGTTGGTCCAACACTATCCTACAATTCTGATCTTGCATTAACTTCCCAAGCTGGGAAAAATGCAACAATATCTGTTGAGGGCGAGGGGTGCTAGGAACTCCAAAATGCAAAGGTAAAGGACATGGGTCCTGCCTTGAATGAATTGACTCAAGCCTTCTTTCAGTCAGAGATAAAGTTTATTAAAACAGCAATTTAGGTAGGCAGGATTTTACGAATCTGAGCATTTGTGACGCTTGTATTGACAACTGGGCCAGACTTGTAAGGAAACTGAGCACCTTAATGGAGCAAGATGGACCTTTGATATGGTAAGACTGTGCGAAGATCTGGACAGGGGTGGACAGTAGGCTGGGGTAACTGGGAGGTAACAGAGAGGGGGTCTAGATGGAATTAAGGAGTAGCTATCTAGGGTTGGGCCAGATGCAGACAATGAAAGGGTATTTGAAAGGATTAACTGGGAAGGGCTGGGTGCCCCAGGGACCTGGGCCAAGTGGGAAAGTCCAGGGCCTTTTAGGGGTCCATCATTTGTGCCCCATCACATACAGGGTCTGTGGGAAAGCTGTTACACTTATACTACGTGCCTCATTGGGTCATGAGGAAAGTGTTTTGCAAACCAGAAAGCACTAAGGAAATGAGAGCAGTCATTAATATATACGATTCAACTTAGCAAACATTAAGTATGTGCTATATGCCCAACACTTTGCAAGAGACTGGATGTCACAAGGCAGTGCCTTCTGAGTGTCAAATCTATGGGCTAGAGTGGTACTTGAAGGTTGGTTAATGATAATGAACTATGTAACAAGGGCCCCACCTGACTCTGGAAGCCCTTGCTAACTCAGGTTCCATATGGAGCATTATGCAAATATATCCCATATATAGGCCAGAGGCGTCTATAGACCCACCGAGATAAGCAGTATAACCCATGGGCATGGCATCTGCCCATAAAATATCTGTAATGGGAGCAATATTCTAATCCCTGACTCCATGCAAATTATACTAATTTTTCCTCAAAAGGTTTTAAAGGGGGAGGGGAGGAGTGGTAGATAATATGTCTCAATAAATGGCCATTTATGGGTTGTCTTTCATGTTTTTGGTTACTTAAACATAAATCACCCATTTAGAAAGCATTTACTGGGAAATGGTGGAGGAAATGAGCAGGATAATCTGATCATCTATACTATATGCAGAAAGCTCTGAAACTCTCTAATACAACCCTATTTTAATTCTAAATTCCAAATTGGTATGTTCCTTGAGGGCAGAGACTGTTGTTGCTACGATTGTTTTCCATTTCTTCATATTCTCTGTACTTAGTATAATGCCTGGCACTTAATAAACATTTAATAAATGCTTGACAAGAGGCAGCTAGGTGTTGGGGTGGTTAGAGCACCGGCCCTGGATTCAGGAGGACCTGAGTTCAAATGCGGCTTCTGACACATAACACTTACTAGCTATATACCTTGGGCAAGTCACTTAACCCCATTGCCTAGCCAAAAAACAAACAAACAAAAAAAAAAAAACCAAAAACAAATGAATGCTTGGCTGACTGAATTTAAGCCGGGAAGGTGGTATTAAAACCATCCTCAGAACTTAATTGGCTCAGGGGACTAAAGACTCAAGCTGTTGATTTGACTTTGTGGTCACCAGAATACCAAAACACCCACAAGGAGCTCCAGGAGCTCTCTGAAGCTTTTGTCTGGTAGAAAAAGACTGGCAGGGGAAGGACCATCACTCAGCTGAATGCATGTTCTTGTTGCTTATCATTGTATATCCTTTTCTTCTGAAGGTTAAGTAAATCTTTTTTTTGTTGTTGCTAACTCTCAAACAACCCAGGAGTATCTCATTTTGTTTATTCCAACATCAAACATAAACTACTAGCAGACTGGCCCTAGTCAAGTCCAGTAAAAGCAACAGCCATACCCCCTTTCTCTCTCTCTGGGTCTGACTCACTTATTTCAACCTGCCTTCAAACTAGCTGATCTAAGGTTGGTTGGTTTGTTTGTTGTATCACTTGGCTACTATTCAAGCACTTTCAGGGTCTCAGTGGTAATCCTATTGTGTGTAGGAATACAACTCTGTTAGCCAACACAGTAGCTCATAAGCCCATGATTTCCATTTACAGAAAATAAGTCTCAATGACACCATTAACTCTTTTAAAGACTGGATCTCCTCATCTTGCCAGGCTGTAAATACAGAGGCTGCTCACAGGTCCAGTTCTGCCTTGGCTGGCATGGCAGCCTTGACCTGCTCCATTTCTGACTTGGGCTGGTCTGCCCCTCCTTAGACAATTTGGTGCCTGCCTCCTCTGCCGCCCCGCCCCCCAGACTCATTATCAATGCTTGACTTAATGTAGACACCTAATTGGTGTGGTTCACTGAAGCTCAGAACTACAAAGTTCAAGAGATCCATCAACCTCATCCTCTCTGGTATCAGAGATTAGAGGCATGCGCCACAATGTCCAAGTCATTATTAACTCTTTTTAAAATTTGTGATTAATTTATTTATTTTTAGTTTTCAACATTCACTTCTGCAAGATTTTGAGTTCCAAATTTTCTCCTCATCTCTCCCCTCCCCCCACCCCTAAGCCAGCATGCATCCTGAATACTCCTTCCCCTAATCTGCCCTCCCATCACCCCCCCTTCTCTTATCCCCTTCCCCCTCTATTTACCTGTAGGGCAGGATAGATTTCTACACCCTATTGCCTATATATCTTATTTCCCAGTAGCGTGTAAAAGCAATTTTTAACATTTGTTTTTAAAACTTTGTGTTCCAAATTCTCTCCCTCACTCCCCACCCACCTTCATTGAGAAGACAAGCAACTCTGAAGGGGGGCGGGGTTTGGGGTGTTCTTAGATGCACAGAGGCACCCCAAGATCATGGGGAAAAGCCCAAATCACGGCACGGATCTGCCTGGATGAATTGGACTCAGATCTTCTTCCAGCCAGAGAAAAGTATATTAAAGATAAGCATGTAGGCCAGACTCCAAAGGAACCCAAACATCAGTGATCTAAATAGGGTTCAAGGTGGTTAGGTGAGGCTAGCAAGGACGAGCATCGTGAGGCAGTCTAGAAAGCTCAGCATCTGAGTAGGGGCTGGGGCTAGGGTGGTCAGGCCAGGTGACACCCGTTATGGGCGGGCATGGGGTCTCATCCTCTAGGGGCATGAGAAATTCCCAGTGTCCAAGTGGGGGAAAAATGAGTCTTTAGCAGCTTGGAGTGATGGGAGGAGGGGGCCAAGGAGTGGCCAAGCAGTTTGGGGTGAGGGGAGGAGGGGTCTAGGGAGATCTGGATGGGGGTGGCCAGCAAGCTGGAACACTGGCACCTAGCTAGGATTAAGGGTAAGAAATGGCCAAAGGCCACAGGAAGGTGAAAAATTGGGAGAGC